GGCGGATTTTCTCACGGCCTTGGAATTGTTTCTACATGCAAGCATTAGTATTTTTTTTCCCCTTTAGCAGCAAACGTACTTTTTGGCCTGACTGGGGCGGGAAGGAGCTGGAGTAGGTGGGTCGTTGATGGTGGTGTTGACTACAGGAACAGCGATGTTGATGTCCACCATTGGCACGGACAAATTGGGGTCAGATTCACTAGGCGGAATTTTCTTAACGGCCTTGGAATTGTTTCTACATGCAAGTATTAGTTTTTTTTCCCCTTTAGCGGCAAACATACTTTTTGGCCCAACTGGGGCGGGAAGGTGCTGGGGTAGGTGGGTCGTTGACGGTGGTGTTGACTACAGGAACAGCGATCTTCCTGGCCCGGCTACGGGTAGGAGGACCTGTCGCCTGAGTGGGTGCGGACTTGCCAATGACGTTACCGCCGGTATCAGCATCTGTCGTGCTAAATATACTTTGAGGTGAAAGGCCTCAACAGAAAGGGTGAGGAATCACCTCTCGTTGTCTGTACTCTGGGCTGCCTTCCCCACTCCCTTCTGCAATTTTTTTCAATGTCGTGGCTAACGGTGACAGAGGAGTCTCTCACCTTGGTGGAAGCATTACCTCTGCCCACTGGGGGTAGAAGAACAACAGGCTGCAACTTACGAGGGTGAAGTTGTCGAGGTTCAGACATTTTGGTTGGGAACTTTAGTATTTGGTTTTGTTCCAAAAATTTTGAAGGCTTTTGAGTGGGTTGGGGCAGAAAGGCGTCCCGTCCCACTGTGTATATATACTCTTACTTACACACGAGCCCAGGGACACTGACACGCTAACCCAAAGGGATTTTCCATTGCATTGTGGCATGTTTGGGCGTCAGGGTAAGGGCGATGTAATATAGCAAGATGAGGTCATTGTCAAGGGCAGCCAGAAACTCCAACCGCTTGGTGCGAGGTCTGCAATCGCATAGTGCGAAAAGTCACCAACCTGGAGGACTGTCGACATTACTGCGTGGCCCGGCCAGGAGGTGGGTTGAGATCTTCCGAATGGACGTGATTATCTGTGGGCTTGAGATCTTCCGAATGGATGCATTTTTCTGTCTGCATAGTGTGAAA